GAGAAAATTTCGTTATGGGAAGTCATAATTTCAAAAAAAAAAAAAAAAAAAATACAAAAAAACTAACGATTTAAACGAATAGTTAAATTAATATAAGCATTCGTAACGAAAAAAGTAGCAATTCGATTTCGATCGATTATTTGAATATTTTCGAGATAGCACGTAATGGCGGCTGAAAAGGCGCGAAAGTAGAGAAACGAATAGGTTAAAAGCAATGTTTAAACTCACGATATCTTCTCATAAGATTCTTCTTATATGGTTTGGTACCGGGTGGTCTGGATCTAGACCTCGTGCTACCATCTTTTTGATTATTGTCGGAGCACGAATCATCTGAATCCTCGGAACAGGTACGGTCTTCCCTTTCTTGAGAATATTCGGTGGACGTAGTGGCGACGAAGCATCCTCGTAACCTGAGCGCTGCCGCAGCATTTCCATAGTCGTCGATCGGTTCTTTTCGATCCTGATCCTGATCGTTCTCCTCTCTGGAGAACTCCGCGTAATCTCCTACTCGAACGCTCAAGTCCAACGGTTGATCCTCGAGCATCGTTTCTATCTTTGCCAGCTTCGTTTCCTTGCTGCCAGTCTGTCCCCACAAGTTGATTCACAGCTACCACAGCACAGTTGCCATCTTGATCTTCAACGATTTGTACTTGACACTCAGTCGATACAATATAACATTACACTCGCCGGTTTTCTTAATGATTCGATACGATGTAGGTTTCTATTTTTTTCTTTTTCTTCTTTTTTTTCTTCTTTTTGATTGTTTTTATTCAAATTTCACCTTCACTTGGAAGAATTTCACGCAAAGAGAATCACTAGTTCTATATAGACGCGATTGATTGCATTCGCTTGAAGTGAATTAGTATTGAACAATCGTTACGAGAAAAGAAAATGTCACCGTGCGAGATCTCGAAAATTATCGATGTTGTCCTGTCTGCCTCGATTTACGCGGGTTATTGTGATAGAAGTTATTTGGAAAAAATTCAATTATTTTCAATAAAATCCGTCAAGTAGACACAATAACAATGATCGAGTGCAACAACTAGAAAGAAAAGAAAGGAAAGATATCTTCGTGGGAGGTAGAACTCTTCCGGCAGTGTCTTCGTCCCGTGTGGTACGCGTGACGCACAACGGATATTCTACCGGTAACTTTTCTAATAGCAAACAGCTTTCGATACTAACGAAGTTCACGCGAATTATTCGATGTTTCCGTGTTGATCAACGTATTTTTTCAAAATAATCGATCATTCCTTGTATTATTTCCTTCTATTTGTCGACAACATCGAGAAATATAAATTGCACTTGTCACGAGGAAAACAAAATGACAGCCAAGTCAGGTTACAGACGTTATGTTGTAGCCTGAAATATCACGCTGATTTCTTCGATTGAATCATCCAGAACAAAATCGTTTGCACGTAACAATCGCACTTTGAAAAAAGCTCGTTGGCTTCACTATGAACGTGTCTGTATACATATATATACATATGTGATATAAATACATATATATATGTGTGTGTCGTCGTGTCTTGCGAAGGAGCCAACAGGCAGAAAGAGAAAAACGCGAAACAGAATTGCCGAAGCGTATCCACGTTCTCCGCACCGAGGCTACGGTTGCCGGTGGCACACTGACTGACTCGGAACCGGGGTAGCCCGCTAGTCCAGACTCGTTCACTCACTACTCCAGACTCACACTCCAACTCCGAGCGCCGGACTCGCTCTCGCTCGTGTACACCGCACACAGTACTCTCCGGCCGCCAGAGCCAACTGCGTTCGGCACTTTCCGTCGTTCGACTTCGGTTCTTTTCGGTCTCTACACTGCCTCGATCAGAGTCGGCGGCTTCACGTACACGCCGGCACCCACACACAGTCGCGAACCGTCGCTCGAGATGCGCGGATGCGTAGCCTACCGCAATGTTCGAGTTGGTGATGCTCTCCCTCCACTACTTTCTGTTCTTTTCTCTCTTTCCATCTTTCTTCTCCCTCGCCTTTTTTTCTTCTTTCTTACCACCTCTTTACCTCTATCTCGCTCGCTTCGAGTCTTTTCTTTGCCCTTCGAATAGAGCTTCATACTTCTTTCTTTCTCGTACTCTGCCTTGTTCTGATGGTTTCGCGAAAGGGAAAGCTATTTTTCCGTCTATTGGGATAGGACACACGAAGCAGTCTGCAAGCGCCGTTCTCATGACATTAACCTTCGATCGTCGACGTTAGAAACAGCGGGCGGTGACGTGAAATATAGGTTGTTTTAACGGGAGTTTTTTTCAGACTAACTTGACGGATCAAGGAAAGAGAACACGTTTTCTCGATCATTCCTTCGAGAATTCGTTCACAATTGAAACAACTCTGTTGTCGGGTAAGCAAAACGAGCAAATTGCTACACATGTATATACACGCATTCCAACCAACCGTTTCCCTCTAATCCCTGACATTGTCTTCTTGAGGATGAATTCAACAAGCAATAGCAGGTCTCTGCAGCATATAGGAAGACTGGGGCGCACAGAAACGAGACTGGAACGATTGCGTATGCATGGTACACACAATAGGTGAACGTGCGTACGAGTTCGTGGCGGAAAGGAACTTCCAATTCGACGTCTCGTTGCAGCCGGTAAACACAGGTGCAACGAAAACGTCGGAAGTGTTTTTGCAACGGGGCATACAGAGTGAACCTTGAGAGTGACCGATTTCGTAATCCCTTCGCGGCTCGCTTCTCTGGCGTGGTTTCCATTGTAATGCAAGTTAAAAAACGATCTTCCAGATCGTGTTTGTTGAGGTTAGGTGAGCTTCGAATTAACGTAAATCGTTTCTTACAATCAAACTGCATCTGTTTCCTTTTTCTTGTGATCTTTTTAAAAGGTATGAATAAATATTTTTCAATTATATATTTTCTTTTTTGAAATCCGTCATATCAATATTGTTACAGCGTTTCATTTTTCAACGATTTTTAACCTCTTTAACGTTCGTCTTTTGCGTAGTAGATATCTATCTACTATTAGAAAGCAAGATTAATAGAAATATTTTCGTATAAAGTGTGTTTTATTATTAATGCTATAAACATGTATGATTTGTATCCAAATAAATGAAATAATTTTAAAATTTCAACTAAAAAATTAATATAATTATGATGTTACATGCGTCGATTAAAGTTAACATTCATATCGAAAAGGTTAATTACATCAACATTCCATCGTTGTATAGTTACAATAGCTGTGTTGCGCATAAATTCTTTGCGTTTATCGATACAATACACATATGTGTGCGTTACAATCGATCGAGAAACTAACATGGCGTTCGATAAATCGCGGATTCGTTTGTTGCAGTGAGTGTGTTCGGGATGTTATCCTGCCAGGACGATTTCAAGATTTCATTTTGGAAACGTAACGAGCTGCGGACGAAGGGCTTGTTCATCAGTTAGAGATTCTCGATCCCTTTTCTGATAAGTGAAAACGGAGTTGACCTTAATTGCATTTCCTGCCATCGAACCTGCGATTCTATTGTTGCCGAAAAGCGTTTTTCGCAGACTTCACACGCCACGATCAACGATTCCACGGAACAAGGTTATTTCAACGATGAATTCATTCTATGTAAGCGCGGCCGGTAGTCGTCGATGCATTTGCATTGAAAACACCGACTGGTGCAATAAGCTTGGTTTTCCATCAGATTGGAAAGGTTGGTTTCAACCACCGCTGCGGTATACAATTGTGTTTAGTCGGGGCTTACTATAGAGTGTTTTCACCTTTACGATTTTATATTGGTTTTATACACCGAGTTTTCTAAGAATCGATTTTCAATGTCGATTGTCAAATCGACGAGAGCACGTTCTCTTTGAAAGAATCCGCGAATTCTAGGAATCCATTTTTTTAAAAGCTATACGTATTTAAAATTTGGTTATATTCTCAGCGTATTGTGCTTAAATTAGGTTAGGTTAGATCAGATTAGATTATTGTATTGGCATTCTGCAAAGAACTGAATAAGAGAAAAAGACAAAGAATTCATTTTTACGATGATGAATATGATAATCGAAAAAATATCGAATATTTATTATCACTTCTATCAAAATAGTATCTATGATATCATTAATGAAAGCGTTTTGAATTTTTTTTAAACTTTTATTATATTTTCTGATCATATTTGAATCGATGACTGACAATTAAAAACGAAACATATCGATTATTTTTTTTTTTAGGTTAGGTTACTTTTGAATCGTATTTCTAAACTCAAAATCATTATAGTCTTTATTAATCGAATGTTTTCAGAAAATATAAACAAAGTTTGGAAAATAATAGCATTTCAAAATAAAGATTAACCAAATCATCGATCGAGACTCGGCTGGTTCGAATAATAACCGTCTCCGAAGTTTTATCGTCGTTTGCACAGCTACGTTCATGCGTCAGGGAGCGTTCTATAAAAATTCAGGGAAGAAATTTCGAAACTAATCCAAGAATCCTTCGTGCTTGACTTTCATCAAACTTTAAATTTGAATTCCGTAGAGATAAGAGAGAAAGAGAGATCTCAAAGTTCAAAGATTATTCAGCGTAGGCAGGAGTGATTTATCGGTCCCGAATTTGCTAGATCGGGAGGATGGAACATCTGCGTTAAAGGGTTGGAAACGTTGTATGCGCGCGCGTAGAAACCATGCTATCCTCGATTTGTCGACCCTCGCCGCGATGTGGAGAGTCACCGCGAGCCGAGAGTTATTTTCGCGCAAAAACGGTCGACAAGTGCCGGCCTGGGAGAGAAAACCTCGTAACTCTCGCCGATCTCGGAACGGGACGACGCCCAATCCAGGAAAAGTACGATTTCTAATCCATCACCGTACAGCTTCACGGCTTCTACGTCCTGTGTTTCCTCGACGCGACGCGACGGGACGTCACTTTGTGCCTCTCTGTGACAACCGCTCTATTTCCGATCCGACCATCCTCGCGAATTGCATCCTACACGTTTTCCATTGGTTATTCGTATGACTGTATTCTATCATGAGCGATATAAAGAATAGAGAAGAAACTCGAATCTTTATTTTTTTTTTCCTTAAATATAGGTTATCTTGTTTAGGTTAGGTTATCTTGCATGTCTCATGGTACAATTTGTGGATTTAAAATAATTTGATTTTTCAAGGAATGAATTTGTTGAAGCTAGACACCGTTTTAATTATTTTTGTATCGTTCAATTGTATATGTTAATATTTAATTATTTATAATATGTTTATGCATATTCGCATATGCATGTTCACATATGCCTATTATATATTAATTTTCTTCGTATCTTTTGGAAATATCTTTGAATTAACAACAATTAACAATCGACAAAATACAAATACAATTGTGTTTAATCTCAAAATTTAATTTTGAGATTGTGCGCAAATGTGATGTGTGAATTTTTGAATTCTATAAATTTCTAATTTGATATTTTTCTTTTACAATAATTCTTATAACAATTCAAAATATTAAAATTTATTTTTTCCTAAGTAATTTAATAATTTTCATCTCTTCACACGATGCACTGCATAAAACCGAACATCACGCATCACATGCGATACACAATACAGCGTATCTATACGCTATTAAATTTTTCTATTTTCGATAAAGAAATCGAAAAAAAAGATTTCTTTCGAGGAAAAGTTGGCCATACATTATCCTCTCTCTTTCTGCGCAACAATTAACTTCTTAACGTGCAAGTTTCTAATCAAGACGGTGTATCACGATATTATTAACTATCTAACACTCGTGTATCATCACTTTCGTTTTCGCGGTCCGCGCATCCCTGTCGATTTTGTTTTCGTTCCACGGCACAATTTTCCATCCAGAGACTGTGTGTGTCGCGTTCTCTTTCCTCCGCTTTCTACCAGAGTGAGATCCATCAGCCTTTCGACGCCATCGATCATTCGATCCCCGCGTTTTTCGCTCGCGAAACACACCGGCTCTTCTCCCATCCCATCCCAATGGTCGAATATCGGTCGGATGCCATCTATATGGGGGGGAAGAGGGGAAAGGAAGGAAACAAGAGAAAAGGACGAGACCGGATTAGTCGAAAGGAGGGAAACGACGAAAGAGAAATTTCCTTTTTTGCAGGGCAAGAGAAGCGACGTTTCCTGTCCAAGCGACAGCGAAGAAAGTGTATCTAGGCCTTTTTCCAACCGTGTGTTTCCCTGCAATTAGAATATTTACCCTACCGCTTCGAACATCACGTTTTCTACTGACACGAATTCCAGTCTTATTCTTTATGTTGTTTTTCCTTATTTCTGCGTGTTCTTCGAGTTTTAATAAATAAAGATCCATTCATTTTTTTTATGAATTTAGAATTTTTGTGAACATTAAAAGACGATGAAAAATTTAATTTTTGTGTATGTTTTGAGATAGAATATTTTAATTAAGAACAATAGACTGTATTGTCAAAATTTTATTAACGAAATAATATCTTTTGTTGTAATTTTTAAGATCGATATATGGTTGATTGCCAATATATTTTTGAAGTTATAAGTTTGCAAAGAAGATTGATGATTCATTAGATTATTTTATTTTACTTTCATGTAAAATAAAATTTTGCCTTACCACTTAAGAAACGGAATTTAAATAGAAATTTGCCTCTTTAAACGTCATAATGTACATTTTTGTACATTAAAATTTTCAATGCATGAACATCCACATCCAATTTCACAGATAGGATAGATTATTTTTATTAGAATGACACCTATTAATCTATTAATGACACATATATATTGGATCTTTATTTATCAGAATAAGGTATCGTAAAAGCTAAACGATGAGAAACGAGAAGGCACAGAAAGCGAAATGAGTGAATCTCTCTAAAATTTCAACCCGACTTTCGTTTGACGTTCGCGAGACTGCGGCGATTTTAATTTCTTGTTATCCCCCCAGCGTGGAGGTGAAAGAGACGAGGAAGAGGTATTAGCCGGCGATTCAGGCCGAGACTAACGCGCACTTTTCCTCGACAGCTACGTTTCTCTCGTTGGCGCTTCGACGCGGATGATTTCTTCGTCCGCCACGCGTTTCTTCCTCCATCATACTTACTCGTGGGGCAATGATTGGACGACAAAATTCGCCAATTCATTGGCGATAAAATTATTATGTATCTATATATACAGCTCTTTCATTCGTTCAATATCACCGTGACTTCGAACAATTAATTAATCGAAAATTTATGCCAAAGTATCTCTGTATCACCGTTTAAAACGATCTTGGAAACATTTTTCTCTAAACTTGTGCTCCTTTCGTCGTCCATTTAAATTCAAAGAAAAAAAAAAATCATTGCAAAAAATATCTCTTCGAGATTTTACAATCTGTGGCGCGTCTCTTGAAATCCACTTTCAAAATCAAACTGTTGTTGAGGTATAGTTGGCGCGCAACTTTCCAAAGAGAATTACTTTACAGGGGTGAGCACGGTGACATCCGGCAATAAACGTTACTCCGTACGTACGCAGTAATTTTACCAAGACGAATCTACGCGAATTTTATACTGTACGGGCCTCCACACCGTGGCGAGGGAAACGATGACTCGACTAACCCCGTCGAAACGAGTATACACGTTGGTTTGACGGGAAGCCGTGGTCGTGTCGTTTCGACTCGATTAGAATCGAGAGGAGTAGCGGAGAGAAGGTGGCCGGTTCCGCGACCGGTTGCCATGCCGAACGAGCCTGCTCCAAGTGCCAGAAACCGTGAAGGAGGCCTCTCGTGATCGGGACTTTCCAAGGACACGAGGGTGCGTCGATTCGTGGTGCGTGCGTGCCGTTTTACGTTTTCCTTTTCACGGCGAAAATCACACGCGCTTACCAAGAGAAAGAAAAATCCGCGGCGCTGTGCCAGCGAAATCGGCCGCCACGTTCCATATAACACGC